TTGCTGCTCGCTAGATAAAGCAAAAGTGCAAAGAACAGAGTTGTCACTTGCATAGGGCCTTCATCGGCAACTAAGGCCTTCGACTCGGTCAACAGGGAAGCAGTCTGGCGGACCCTCAACCGTTTTGGTTGCCCACTACAATTCATCGTCATTGTGAGGCAACTCCACGATGCTATGAAAGGCAGTGGCACCCAATCTGAGCTTTTCTCCATCCAAACCGGGGTAAAACAAGGAAATGCAATGGCACTAACTCTCTTTTCCATTTTCTTGGCTGCCTTCCTTTCTAGTGCCAGTGCCAATTTGGCCAGCGGGGTGGACATCCAGCACCGGATGAAGGTTCTTTTCAACGTAAGACGACTCCAGGCAGGAAAAAAGCTGTCGGCAGCTTCCATTACTGAACTTTAGTATGCAGACGACCTCACCATTGTCGCTCACACTGAATGCAACTTACAGGAGACCCTGAACACCTACGCATATGCGTATGCAAACTTCGGCCTTAAGGTGAATGTACATAAGACTCAAATTCTCTTCCAGTTGCCCCTAGTTCATAGGCAACTGAAGATGTCTTGAATAAAGATGAAAGCTAAGGTGCTCCATTGTTTCAATTTTCCCTGTGTGATTTTATCAATATATATATATATATATATATATATATATATATATATATATATATATATATATATATATATATACTTCATTTTTAGTCCATATAACACGCAGACTTTGAACATATAATGAACGACCTCACCAGCCAGGACTCGAACCCTTGACCTACTGGGTGGGACTAGGGAACGCTACCGACCAACCCCCAAGGACACTAAAAGCAGTCCTAGACTCTGTTATGTTTCACACAAAGCCTGTTCATCGAGCTGATGGCGCCGTGAACCTCATTGGGAACTGCCCGTGCCGCGTATGTGGTGTCAGTAGCATTTTACCGAATCCAGCTGACACCACATACGCGGCGTTAGTTCCCAATGAGGTTCACGGTCCCATCAGCTCGATGAACAAGCTTTGTGTGAAATATAACAGAGGAAGCAAGGAGTGGCCATGTGACTTGCAATGTTTGAGGATGGATATATTTGCACAGAGTTGGAGAGCTGACTGACATAGAAGGAAAATTCACAGCTGAACAGCATTTAGAAATACTCGAAGCAATTATGCTTCCCTTGGTGCGTTCATATGCTTTTCCGTTTCCCGAAAACATCATTTTCATGCACGATAGGTGTCCTATCCATACGGCACGGATTGTAACGCGGTGGTTTGCAGAACAAAGAAATGTGCAAGTTTTAGACTGGCCAAGTAAAGGTTGTGACATGAACCCTATAGAGAACGTTTGGGGCAATATTGTGAACGTGTGGGAGCCAGCTGAAGAGAGAACCAGGGTGCAGCTACAGGAGCATACACACCGTGAGTGGGAGGTCCTGAGGCGGACGCCGCAACTGATACACAATCACGTCGCCTCCGTTCCCAACAGGCTGCAGCAAGTAATCGAGAATGAAGGTGGCTGGAGTAAATATTAATGTGTCAGAAATAATTTTCCAGTGTAATCAAAGTCACATACTGAATGCATCTGAATATCTGTCAAATTGTATAATAAATGTAAAGAAAACAATCTTCTTAATATCCCTACTTGTGCAGTATGTACTCAGGATGATTTAAGTCAAACAAATCCTAGCATTATACTTATAATTATGATGAAAGAGTACAGTATCATATATGATAAATATATGCATGTGAAATAATCACTATATCTACCACGTTAGTTTTTAGTTTAACAATTTTATTGACAAAGCTTGTAGTACAGTTTGCCTATTCTGAGTAATTCAGTGAGGTTTTGACACCGAGGGTGGTCTCACTTCTCACTGCCACGCAGGACAAAGGTTCATACACAAAGAAATACAACATATTCATATATATAGAGGTCAGATTCATGTGGGTAATGTCACTGTATAACGACACAATTCCTACAATATATAATGGTCCGATCACAGCTGTCCGATCCGGCTCTTGAAGGCACCTAACCTAACCTAACCTAACGTCAGCGTTATATTTATATTTATTATGCATTTATAAAAAATAAACGAATAAATAAATAAATAAGATACAAATTTATAATACATCATACACATTTTTAAAAAAAATGAATATATTTTTTTAAAGACACCAGACTAAACGTGACGTAATCGACACAATTCAGAAACAAGGATTTAGGGGGGGGGGGGGCAAAAGAGTCACTCAACGAAAGAAATGCCATTTGTTGTTTACAATATTCATAGTCTTGGAATGACAATGATATTACTAGATAATGGCTGGTAAAAGTATTAGGCATATACTACAGTACTAATTCACACCATCAGACGTAAGATTAATTACCATCACCGTCAATTGAACAACGTCATTATTAAATACAGACACAGACTGATACACACACACACACACACACACTCCACATGCACACACGCACACACAGGGAAGTAAAACAGCAGTTTGTGTTGCAAGAAATCAGCGTCTTTAGAAAGAAGTTTTGTTTAGCATCGGTTAGATACAACTCGATTAATTACTAGAAAGGGAATAAACGTCTGAAGACAATATTAGTATAAATTAATGATAAACAGGCAACCTCATAAACAGCCTGCACACAGCTGTGCCCGATGCATGATGTTCTTTAACATACTTACCGATTTTTACTTATGTTTATTTATCTAAATATAAATTCATATAGGTTGGCTCATTGCTCTATCCATTTTAAAATCAAATTAACAGTATATACTAGCAGAAAGGCATAATAGAATGCGAAACAACAAAGCCCAACCATTAATGAAGCAACGGGGAACTAAGTAACCAATCACCGATCACTTTTACATTCATTCATAATTTTTACTACGTAGTATAGTAAACAAACGACCTTGAGTTGCCAGCTGTCTCCAGCAGTGTTCGAAGAATCTTGAACGTGACTGTACCTACTTTACTGCTAGGTGAACAGGGACTAATGGGGGCTAGGAAGTAAGTCCAAACAACTCCCACCGGCCCGGGAATCGAACCCGTGACATCTCGCTTACGAGGCAAGAACGGTGCCGCTTCTACAACCGGTCCCCCCTTTTAAAACAATCATCAACAAACACAGAAGGGTACCCAAGGTTTTGTGCAATGGAACGAATGTGTTTAAATTCTTCATCAATAAATTCAGCGTCACAAATGCGCAGACATCTCAAAAATATAGCAGAAAAAAATAACATTTTGGTAGACTCATGATGACTCGATAAAAAATGTATGAAACTGTCTACCTGTGTAGGCTTTCTGTACACCTTAAATTTATAGTTATGGCCATTTCTAATGATAAGCATATCAAGGAATGGAAGGGATCCATTTATTTCTCTTTCAATTTTGAGTGTGATACTTGGGACAATATCATTAAGCTTATCTAAAACTTCCAATGTTCACTGTTTTTAGGCCAAAGACAAAGAACATCATCTACATATCTATACCAAGGAGGAATAAAGTCCCCTATATTGGGTAGTAATCTAGACTCAAAAACTCCACATAAATACAGGATAGAGGAGCAGAAAGACAATTACCCATGCTGATGCCACCTGGATTACGCAGTTCAGTTCTGGTCACCGTATTACAGAATGGATATAGAATCCTTGTAAAGAATCCAGCGGAGAATGACAAGACTAATCCCGGGCATTAGAAACCTTGAGTATAGAGACAGGTTAAAGCATCTTAATTTGCATTCCCTCGAGAGACGTAGAGAGAAGGGCGACATGATAAATGGAAGTCAGGGCTAAACAAAGGGGACATTAAAAAGGTTACTCAAACTATCCAACCAGGAGCGAACTCGTAACAATGGTTTTAAATTAGACACATTTAGATTTAGGCGCGAAATAGGTAAACACTGGTTTGGAAACAGAGTAGTGGATGAATGGGACAAGTTTCCAAATATCATCATTAACTCAAACACACTGGATAGCTTCAAACACAGGTTGGATGCTTATATAAGCAATAGGGGTTGGGTGTAAATGGGACTGCCCAGTATGGGCCAATAGTCCCGCTGCAGTTTCCTCCATTCTTATGTTCTTATGTACTGTTTGTGGATCATGGTGACTGTCTTCATTCATTGACATGTCCAAGATTGGCCTGTGTAAAATATACATTTATATTGCCTATAGATAAAAATATAAGACATTCTATATCATGTATAACAGGACGACGTGATACATTTATATAAGAGATAAATAACCAGTTAGTTTTACTTTATACTTACACAAACATTTTGTAGGAGCTCAGATATATAACATTTGTCTTACCGTCAAGGGAAAGTGGCCGACACGATGGTTCCACGATGTACAATAGTTGTCAGGCCGAGGTGCTGCAGCAGAATGACTGTCCTGGAGGCCCGACCAAAGGTTTTATGGCGAGTGACTGGTATGCTTGTTTTCAATTCGTTCATTTTATTGATTGACGATACGAAAGAGCCCTTTGAATGGACGAGAATCTGATTAACCTTTATTTGGTTAGCTGGATCCATAGCTTATATAAATTGCTAAAAATGGTGTTGTTATTTCTTACATATTCTTCAAGTAACATATTATAAATGAACCTGTAAACTACACAGGAAAATCAATGTCAATAATTATCTCCTCTCGGTGTCGGGTTTCGAACTGGAACCACCATAAATGTTAGTCAGGGAGCATATCAACTAGCGACCAGCCCATCGAAACCCGAACCCAAAGGTTAATATTTTTTTTACACACACACACACACACACACACACACACACACACACACACACACACACACATATATATATATATATATATATATATATATATATATATATATATATATATATATATATATATATATATATATATATATGCTGGTAACTACATAACTACATGCATAACTAAATATGAACTTTGTAAAATTGTTTCGCGATGATTATAGCGTAGAGATTTTGTGTAGACTATTTTTTGAGGGAAATAATGAAATAAGGTGCATCGTTTCTGCTAAGTTTATTTTGCGTGTCAGTGCTTCCAAAACTGATAGGCGAGGAAGGTATGTGTATGATAAGTTTCATTATAGCTGTATGTAAAGCTAAATATCCCTGTGTTTGTGAAGTTTGTATCTTTCTTAAAGCAGGATAAACATGTTGTATTTTTGCTGTCTTTACAGCCTTGGTAAAATATTGATAGCACTCACAAGGAACATTACAGATATGTCAGAACAGAGATGAAACCTTTTTTGTATATTTCAGGTTAACAACTTTGACACAGTAGAGATGAGGGCGACCTTCACAAGTTGAAGAGCCTGTTACAGATGACCTCGCCACACAGCACCACAGCTCCGAGGACGTGACCAAACACCGCCACCACTAACATTCCCTGAAACGTTAGATGCGAAACTATTACCTGATGAACCAAAACCATGTTACACATTTCGATTCATCTACAATGATTTGCCGAATCAACTTCTTAATTACGGGCCCCATAGGTATATAAATCTACTACCTCGTATTTACTAATTGTTTTACTTTCGTATGCTGCCACTCTCACTTAATGTACTACTTACGAGATAATAGTATTGTACTCTACATTAACGATTTTTTTGCTACAGACACATTACCCAGATGTTATCAAGAGAAAGAGAAGTGCTGACGGTGATCTTGGTGGGAGAAGTAACACAAGATGTAGAGTTCGGTATGTTGAGCTCCATCCACTGATCCACCAACCCAGCCTCCGTCACCGACATGATCCTGTATGTGGTAATTTGTGTTGAGATAAATAAAAACACATTCTAAGTTGGGCTATAATTGATTAATATATTAGTAATAGTAGAGTCATACTTAAAAACAACATTAATATTTAGTAATTTAAGGGACTGAACTAACGGGACAAATTCATTGCGATAAGGTAGAGTCAAAATATTCTTAAATGTAGGAATTTGCCGCCTGGTTTGAATACAGTGAAAGGATTTCTTAGCCCTTTTAAAACAATGATCAACAAACAATGAAGGATAGCCAAGTTTTTGTGCAATGGTGATAATGGATGATGTTATATGTAGTGATGATGGATGTTGTTATATGTAGTGATGATGGATGATGTTATATATTGTGATGATGGATGATGCTATATGTAGTGATGATGGGTGGTGTTATATATGGTGATGAAAGATGATGTTATATGTAGTGATGATGGATGATGTTATATATGGTGATGATGGATGATGCTATATGTAGTGATGATGGATGTTGCTATATGTAGTGATAATGGATGTTGTTATATGTAGTGATGATGGATGATGTTATATATGGTGATGATGGATGATGCAATATGTAGTGATGATGGGTGGTGTTATATATGGTGATGAAAGATGATACTATATGTAGTGATGATGGATGATGTTATATATGGTGATGATGGATGATGCTATATGTAGTGATGATGGATGTTGCTATATGTAGTGATGATGGATGTTGTTATATGTAGTGATGATGGATGATGTTATATATGGTGATGATGGATGATGTTATATGTAGTGATGATGATGGATGAGGTTATATGTAGTGATGATGGATGATGTTATATATGGTGATGATGGATGATGCTATATGTAGTGATGATGGATGTTGCTATATGTAGTGATGATGGATGTTGTTATATGTAGTGATGATGGATGATGTTATATGTGGTGATGATGGATGATGTTATATGTAGTGATGATGATGGATGAGGTTATATGTAGTGATGATGGGTGGTGTTATGATGTTATATATGGTGATGATGGATGATGTTATATGTAGTGATGATGGATGTTGCTATATGTAGTGATGATGGATGTTGTTATATGTAGTGATGATGGATGATGTTATATATGGTGATGATGGATGATGTTATATATGGTGATGATGGATGATGCTATATGTAGTGATGATGGATGTTGCTATATGTAGTGATAATGGATGTTGTTATATGTAGTGATGATGGATGATGTTATATATGGTGATGATGGATGATGCAATATGTAGTGATGATGGGTGGTGTTATATATGGTGATGAAAGATGATACTATATGTAGTGATGATGGATGATGTTATATATGGTGATGATGGATGATGCTATATGTAGTGATGATGGATGTTGCTATATGTAGTGATGATGGATGTTGTTATATGTAGTGATGATGGATGATGTTATATATGGTGATGATGGATGATGTTATATGTAGTGATGATGATGGATGAGGTTATATGTAGTGATGATGGATGATGTTATATATGGTGATGATG